CATGAGTGTATGGCAAGACACCCCACGCCTGACATGAGTGTATGGCAAGTCACCCCACGCCCGACATTAGTGTATGGCAAGTCACCCCACGCCCGACATTAGTGTATGGCAAGACACCCCACGCCTGACATGAGTGTATGGCAAGACACCCTACGCCTGACATGAGTGTATGGCAAGACACCCTACGCCTGACATGAGTGTGTGGCAAGACACCCCACGCCTGACATGAGTGTGTGGCAAGACACCCCACGCCCGACATGAGTGTATGGCAAGACACCCTACGCCTGACATGAGTGTGTGGCAAGACACCCTACGCCTGACATGAGTGTGTGGCAAGACACCCCACGCCCGACATGAGTGTATGGCAAGACACCCCACGCCTGACATGAGTGTGTGGCAAGACACCCTACGCCTGACATGAGTGTGTGGCAAGACACCCCACGCCCGACATGAGTGTATGGCAAGACACCCCACGCCTGACATGAGTGTATGGCAAGACACCCTACGCCTGACATGAGTGTATGGCAAGTCACCCCACGCCCGACATGAGTGTGTGGCAAGACACCCCACGCCCGACATGAGTGTATGGCAAAAGCGATTCCAGGTTTGAGATCACTGCTATAAGGGGATGACCTTGGGTACTCTGCCATCTTCCATTCTCCAGATGTGAACCAGCTACCTGACGCTTTGTAGACTGAGCATTAGGAAGACTGTTGTAGTACCTGCTCTTTCCAATACCTCAATGTTTGTCATCTTGTCCTGCTACTTAATGCCAATTATTCTTCTTCGGCATCTCGTGGGAAAGTTATTTAGCCGTCTCTCCTGGCAGGAATAAGTTGTCAATTTTCACTGCCATAAAGCAGAGTGCTGAGAACACAAGCCTGATAGACAAGAGATTATGATTTTATTGTGAGCTTTTTGTTCTCCCAAACACATTTTGTTAATCTGCTCGTTGCTGTTGCTGCCTTACCTATCCTGATGTTTATTTCTTGGTCCAACCAATTGTTATTCACTGCGGACCCCAGAAAGGTAAAACAGTCAACAGTCTCCAGCTCTTCATCATAAATGTAGACTGCAGGTCTATCATTAACAGCTTGCACCATTATCTTTTTCTTGTTGCTCTTGTTTTTTTTTTAATCCTCTCATGGCAGAAGAATATAGAATGCCACCTTCTCTATGTAGGCAATCAGTTGTCTTTGTGTCGTTAAAGAAATATTCATTCGACTTTTTATTCTATCCTGGGTGTTTTCAACGTTTGTGTATGAAATCACATCTTTGCCGGTTTCAGTTTTTCATTATTCAACTTCGTAGATCGACCCAGCCTAAAAAAGGGACTAGGATAGATATCCTAGGAAAGTAAAGACGGCCGGCGTAATGCTGACTATATTAGCCACCAAGTACCAATTGGTCTGTAAAAATATGGGAGCTGTTCCCATTTGCCCGACTCGCTTGAAGTCGTGAAAAAGGATCCTTCTTTTCCTATTCTGTTCTTTACTTCTGTGATACATCGTCCGGATGTTATCCATGTGCCTAGGTACTGAGAATTCAGTACGTGTCCTAACAATATTTACCTCAAAAAAGACACCAAGCACTGCCAGTCCGTCTGGTTGTGTCATCGCTGCTTTCACATTTCCATACTTCTCGGCGTAGTTAACTATATGCATCTGAAATATCAGACAGATACTTGTTTACACAGGGAGAAAGAAAGACAGACAGACATGAACACAAAACAGACAGACAGACAGACAGACAGACAGACAGGCAGGCAGACAGACAGACAGACAGACAGGCAGGCAGGCAGGAAAGCAGATAGATAGATAGATAGATAGATAGATAGATAGATAGATAGATAGATAGATAGATAGATAGATAGATAGATAGATAGATAGATAGATAGATAGATAGATAGATAGATAGATAGATAGATAGATAGATAGATAGATAGATAGATAGATAGATAGATAGATAGATAGATAGATAGATAGATAGATAGATAGATAGATAGATAGATAGATAGATAGATAGATAGATAGATAGATAGATAGATAGATAGATAGATAGATAGATAGATAGATAGATAGATAGATAGATAGATAGATAGATAGATAGATAGATAGATAGATAGATAGATAGATAGATAGATAGATAGATAGATAGATAGATAGATAGATAGATAGATAGATAGATAGATAGATAGATAGATAGATAGATAGATAGATAGATAGATAGATAGATAGATAGATAGATAGATAGATAGATAGATAGATAGATAGATAGATAGATAGATAGATAGATAGATAGATAGATTAGATAGATAATGATATTGAAGATATAACGATGACAACGGCGACGATACAGTCTACTCTCATCTACTCACCTCTAAAGGATACTTCCTCCCGTTGACCGCGTGCTCACTGCCCAGGTCATCAGTGCTGCCCCAGTGAAAGTGGAACTCCACAGTTCTGTAGACCTGACCCAATCCGCCGCCTCTCACCCGCATCTCCTGATTCAGCACCCGCACACTGGCTGTTGTTAACAGTAGTCAACAGTTAGGATAATCAACAGACAGACATACAAAGATAAATAGACAGCAATACAATGGAAAATACTCGAACATACACTAAAAAAATAGTCATATTTACAATGGGAAAACGACAAAAATACAATGAAAAATATACGGAAATACAGTGGAAAATAGACGAAAATACAATGGAAAATAGATACACATGGGCTTCAATAAAAAACGAAAGAAAATAAAGACGGAAATACAATGGAAATAGACGGAAATACAATTGAAAATGGATTTGCGTGTGCCAACCCACTTCCTCGCAAAACAAACATCCTTAACATTATCACCATCCTGAAGCAGGTCCTTTGCAGAACGTCGCTCTCATCACGGTTTGCCTGAAAGACACTCGATTCTTCGCCAGCTCTTCCGCTTCATGTACTTTCCTATTCAAGGAGTGACTTGTATTCTGTGCCCATCTTCGTGTTGATCGGCCCCTGCTCCTCCTTCTTCGTATCATGCCTTCTGCTAGCATTTTTGTATCCGTTGTGGCGATTTACATGGCCAAAATATTTAAACTTCCGAGACAAGATGCTATTTATTAGCAAATCTTCCTTGATGTTCAGATGTTTTCGAATGTCAGTATTTCTCTTGGTTTCTGTCCCTGTTATTCTGTGATTCTGTCTATAGTATTTCTTCCTTAATGACACATCGTCAATACAAATATTAAAATAGTACTAATAGCTGTACACCCCCCCCCCCCCCCCCATAAATCTCTCTCTCTCTCCCTCTCTCTCTCTCTCTCTGTCTCTCTCTCTCTCTCTCTCTCTCTCTCTCTCTCTCTCTGTGTGTGTGTATGTGTGTGTAATGCCTATCGACGAAGGCGTTGCACAGTTCCATGTGCCAATATTGTGGGAGGAGCTTTTCACTACTTTGTCTTTTATAAACACAAATAATCCACACGGTAAAATAAATAGAAATGGGAAAAATTGGAATAGAAATAGGTGTTGAGAAAGAAACATAATAGAGAATAAAACATTACCGTGTCAAATGAAGGAAAACAACACTAATCCCTCTTTTTTTTTTTTTTTAAACTATAAGGTGAGGATTACGTGATTTTCCGAGCAAATTATTGCATTACTTTGTAAATTCTTTTAAATAAATTTTTTCTTGAATAATTTGGTAGTGACATCGTCTAATTCTTCTTCTTTCTATTCTTGTCTCTACTCCTGGAATGTCTCGCGGCGTCAGGGCAGCAAGAGAGATCTTTTGAACGGGACTTTCTGTTTGCTTCGTATAAAGTACTTTTAAGTGTTTCTGATATTTCTGCGGTCCATATTCTGCTTGCTTGACCTCTGCAGATGTTACTGATGTATATATATATATAAAACGATTCTCTCTATGGTGCCCTTTTTGATTCCGATCTCGTTACAACACCAACCCATTCGACTTGTCTACCTATGAAGTTCAGTATTAGTACTGTGCTGACTCTCCTCAAGGTGTCATTATTCTTACGTCGATCTTTCCTGGGTAAACCTAACACGGTAGCATCGTCTACAAAAATACTAATTTCACGGGAACTTACCAGCGTGCCCGTTATTGGTGACGTTGAGTATACAAGGACCAGAGGGTCCACTGACGGTATCAAACTGTTCTAGAACTATCGGCTCTAGCGTCGGGTCGTACTCACAACTGGAGGTGGGGACGTTGATGGGAGACTGACGCTCGCCGGCACAATATTTGTAGTGCACGTGCCAGGAGTCCGGCCCTGATAAACAAGAAATGATGTTAGTTTATTGAAGGTGGCGTACGTCCTGTTACCATTCCCCCCCCCCCCCCCCCCCCCCAATTTTTTCTAGTCGACTGGTGTACCTGCATGATTACAGCTGTTGTTTTCGTCATTAATATTATGACCTCCTTTTCCTCCTCCTTCTTCTTCTTCTTCTTCTTCTTCTTCTTCTTCTTCTTCTTCTTCTTCTTCTTCTTCTTCTTCTTCTTCTTCTTCTTCTTCTTCTTCTTCTTCTTCTTCTTCTTCTTCTTCTTCTTCTCCTCCTCCTCCTCCTTCTTCTTCTTCTTCGTCTTCTTCATCATCTTCTTCTTCATATTCTTCTTCTTCTCCTCCTCCTCCTTATTATTATTCTCAATATTATCATTATTATTATTACTGCTTACTCTGTTATCGCTTCGGGTATGCATAGAGATGTAAGGTACTGCTTCTGGTTTTTCTGGTCACCTTAACCATTGACATATTTGCAGTTGTTAAGTCTCTCTGATGTTTTTTTTTTTTTTTTTTCAATTCTCATTCTTGGTCTACCTCGTTGTCTACGTCCTTCTCCTCATCTGGTATATTGCGTATACGTTATGACGTCACAATGTGTTCTCTCTAAGTGAGCGATCTAACTGATTTGTTGTCTTTATGTGTAACTTAGAACTGTTCCTGTGTCAGCTGCTTCTCTTATGATGGTAACTTGAAGCTGGTAGGAAGATTGCAAAATGAAGTATGTCTTTCTGATCTAATTACCGCTTTAACAGATCGTAAAATAGTACAAACAATATAGCACAGAGACCTTAAATGTCTGCGTCGGAACAGAAAGTAGAAGTAGAGAAGAACGGGGAGAAAGGCCAAGGACAAGGTAAAAATGTGAGACGACACGATATCTTACCATCTCTTCCCTTGTAGGCCCAGTGGTACTTGCTGTTAACTGGAGCATCGGGCCCTGAAATAAAGACAGAAATAACTTACTGACACCAGAAAACTTATGCTCACTTGGAGATTCCAACGGAATGTTCACTCACACAGGGTGTTTGTAAAGTTTCACTACTCTCAGTGTCCAGAAAAAAAATATAAAAAAACCCATTATAGACGTCAACAAAACATTTTCTTTAAAAGAAAAAAAAAGTCAATTAACTAGTTACAATAATAACGGCTATAGTCTAACTCTGTTTTAAGTAAAGCTGGAAAATACACTGTTTGTGTTGACATATCTGACGACTGCTTTCTGCAGTTGATGAGAATGTATACTATTGGCTTTGCTGGGAGTGCAGTCTGTCCGCATTTTTAATCAAAGGACATTGTTGGAAATTCTGTTATCTTTGGCACATGAACGTAGCAGCTACGGGGTGAATGGTTTGCTGTCAAGTTGGAGCTGAGAAGACCCAAACCATTATCATTACGTAGAATTGCTTGATAAAACCACATAACAGCCAATACATGCTGATGTTGCGACCTTCTTCTGGCTAGGATATGCAGCGAACTTAAACTGTAAATGGAAGCACATAACATTGGACAGAAGCAAACGAAGTAAGCTTGCGTAACCCTTTTGCTGTGTTGAGAAAGTGAAAACTACAATGACAGCCCTTGAAAATTTAAGCAATGTATATCGTGTAGCAAAAAGGATTTAGTTTTTAGAGTCGTGTACGTTGATTTAATTCTGTATCGTACACGTGATGAGCTTATATGCTAGGCTGAAAATTGTGACATTTTTGTTGTTGTTTTTATAATTTATATGGTTAATGAGTTGAGATATAAATATACAAAACCAGACAGGAAATAAATAAGGTTGGTGACTTTAGGAAAGCAACATGGGAGGAGATTAGAATGGCTTTATCGCACGTAATAAATGGCAGGAAACACAGGGTGGGACAAACAAATTGGCCTTACAGGTAACACTAGTAAGTAATTAAAGGCTTTATAGCCACTGTTAATTATGTACTCGACACATGGTGCCTTGCTGTCCTGTCTCCACAATGGAAGTTAACAGTAGGGTTATTGTTTGTTCGCGTCTACAGGATGGAAAACACCAGCAACAAGTCCTGGGTGTTTGCCTAATTCTGGTCCTGGGTGTTTGCTAATTCTGGTCCTGGGCGTTTGCCTAATTCTGGTCCTGGTGTGTTTGCCTAATTCTGGTCCTGGAGTGTTTGCTTAATTCTGGTCCTGGGGTGTTTGCCTAATTCTGGTCCTGGGGTGTTGACGTAATTCTGGTCATGGATGTTTACCTAATTCTGGTCTTGGGGTGTTTGTCTAATTCTGGTCCTGGGGTGTTTGCCTAATTCTGGTCCTGGGGTGTTTGCCTAATTCTGGTCTTGGGGTGTTTGTCTAATTCTGGTATTAGGATGTTTGCCTAATTCTGGTATTAGGATGTTTGCCTAATTCTGGTCCTTGGTGTTTGCCTAATTCTGGTCCTGGAGTGTTTGCTTAATTCTGGTCCTGGGGTGTTTGCCTAATTCTGGTCCTGGGGTGTTGACGTAATTCTGGTCATGGATGTTTGCCTTATTCTGGTCTTGGGGTGTTTGTCTAATTCTGGTATTAGAATGTTTGCCTAATTCTGGCATTAGGATGTTTGCCTAATTCTGGTCCTTGGTGTTTGCCCAACTGGATATTTGCCTTATTTTGGTCCTGGCTGTTTGCCTAATCCTGGTCCTGGGGTGTTTGCCTAATTCCGGTCGTGGCTGTTTGCCTACTTCTGGTCCTGGATGTTTGCCTAATTCTGGTCCTGGCTGTTTGCCTAATCCTGGTCCTGGGGTGTTTGCCTAATTCTGGTCCTGGGGTGTTTGTCTAATTCTGGTCCCAGATGTTTGCCTAATTCTGGTCCTGGAGTGGTGTTTGCCTAATTCTGGTCCTGGAGTGTTTGCCCACTTCTGGTCTCAGGCGTTTTGACAGCACCTGAGTTTTGCGAGTGCAACCGTTCTACACATCGGGCTTATTTGTGTGCAGATGATGGTTCTCTGCCGCTATGGCAAATGCATTCCGACATGGATAGAGACATCCCACACTGGTAAGACATGCTTGTAGGGCGGTGGGGAAGGGGGTTTTACAGTGCGTATATTCTTACCTCACACATTGGAACCCCTGACCCCACACGACTGTAGTGTATCCACTAATTAATTATTTATCACTGAGATGAAGAAAAGAACAGGACAGGCCAAAGCCGCATTGTATCCAATGAAGAACATTTTGAGCAATAAATCCATGCCATTGGAGTTTAGGAAAAGAA